TCCAGGAGTTACCAGTGTGGACATACGTCCCCTGGAAATTTCTGACGAAGACCCTCTTGAGGTCCACCCAGTCGCGGATGCTGTCGTGCGGGAGGAATTCAAGCCACGCCCAAACATGTTCCCCCACGTAGATGGGGAGATATTGAATGATGAAAAGGTCATCATCCACCCCTCCGGCTTGGTAGGAGAGCCAAAAATTGGGTTCGTCTCCCTGGTGTACTTGGCGATGTTGGTGGGTGGTCGGAAGCGCTATGGGAATGGCGCACTTCGGATACACCGGCCAAAGGCCCGTGGTCCCGGGCCATCCAGACAGGGACCCCGGTCGTCTGGCCGGCGACCATGCCTAGGGTGTGTTTCACCGCTCCCCTCGATGGTTCGATCAGGGCTCGTGTCGCCTGCCCTCATCGCCACCGGGTGGACGTCGTCATCACGCCGGGCCTGATGCCGGTTGCTGATGATGCTGCGAGCGTCTTGGTGCGGACCGAGCCATTCATGTACCGACGGTCGGTGTGGAGCAAATGCCAGGCCATACCGTGGTGCAGCCGCGGCCTCCTGTGCCACGCTTGGCGATTGTAGTGGTGAGCGGATGGTGCGATCTGTCTGGTGCGTCCCCACTCCCCTATGGGGAGAAAGGCCATGAATCGGAGTCATGATGCGGAGCTTTTCGCTTGTTGAACGGCGGCGGCTTCCACCAGCACCCAGAGGTTCTGGTAGACCGCCCGCTCCTAGGGGTTGACGGGCTCGGGAACGCTGCGTAGAAGCATTGCCGCAGCGGCGATGTTCTGGCTAGCCCGAGCGAACTATGGAGGTCATTTCCCTTGTTCATGATGTCGCGCTGGACCTGGCAGGCGCGACCCTGGGCGTCGCTCATCGGGTCACACGCATGGGGTACAACGGGCTGCACCGAGCACGCCGGCGTAGGTGGCGGCTGGTTCTACCATCGTTGTCGTAGCTCCTTGGCATGCTCTTGTGCGAGCGTGAGGGCCCCCGCACGCGGGTCCAGAGGGGTGTGAGTCTGCAAAGACTCCGCCACCACCAGCGGCTGTCCTGGAGCGTCTGCCATAGCGCACTCCCGGGATGGACGGTGGCTAGGTGCCACATCGCCGATGCTGGAGCCGTCGCTCTCAACTTCATCATCTAGGAGTTCGTGGAAAGTGATGGGAGCATAGCTCGCCATTCCCATGAATTCGGATGTGAGAGGGGGCGGTGCTAGCGTCCTTCGGAGCCCTGAGCGTACGCATCTGCGGGGGACGCGAGGCCGTAGGGGAACCGGTCGTACTGTGTTTGCGGTGCGGACAATATGGTCCCTCCGGATAATCGGCTGAAGATAATAAATAGCGAGTAAATAACAGCATGTACATTACTCACAGCAGGGTTTGAGCAAAGCGTTTGCTCGGATTGAAGCGTAGGCACCTCGTCGTTGAAGTCGTCGTGTGTCCCGGAGCCGATGGAGGGCGCCCCTCCGACGGGCGCCGGAACAAGTGCCTCCTCGTGGAGGTGAAGTACGCCGAGCCGGTCGACGACGAAGTCTAGGCTTCCGAAGAGGAAGGCCTGGGACGGCTCGAAGACGGGTGGAACCCACATCCCAACAGGTGGGAGTGCGGGAAATTCCAGTGAGCCGAAGCGAGTCGTGTCGCTTGAACCCGCCATGACGAAGGTGGTGGAAAAGTGGGCCATCCGATGACAAAAAGTGTGAACGTACAGCGTCTTCCCCACGGATGGCGTCAACTATCGGTGCAGAAAATGACCAACACATAAATATTTGTAGTTTTGCTGTACATTGTGATCAGAGGTGGCCTAGCACTCAATGACATAGGGTTTATACTGGTTCAGTCAACGTGCCCTATGTCCAGTTTGGGTCGGTCGGTGACTTTATTCCTGAGCCTAGGTGCTCAAAGTTTGCTGTGGGGTTACAAATGGAAGGGAGAAAGATGGGGGGTACAAGAGGTCTGGTCGGACTCTGGTCTAAAGGGCCAAGAGTGACGGGAGCTCTGCTATGTGCCAAGTGTTCGAGTGTGTGCTCGAGGTTTGAACCTAGTGATTCTGTTGTGGTGTGTGAGTGAACTGATCGATCTATCTGTTGGGAGAGAGTGCATCCCCTTTTATAGATGAAGGAGATGGCCTTACAAGTAAGAAGGAGAGAGTGTACGTATGCTAAGTCTTGCTATCCATGCCGTCGGGTACAAGATGATTGTAGGCGCCCATAACACTGTTAATGTCAGATGCATGTGGGAGGTTGCGTCGTCTTCTTCTGGTATGGCAGACGTCGGTGCCCGCCATATTGTTGATGCCCAGAGGTATGCAGGGGGCTTTACTATGTTCGCCTGGTACGGTAAATACCGGTGCCCACAACACTGTTGATGCCCAGAGGCATGTGAGGGGAGTCTTACCGTGTTTGTCTAGTATGGGAGTTGATGGAGCCCACAACACTATAGGAAAAATATCGGCGCCTACAACACTGCTTGGGTTCTGTCATACCAGGAAGGTTATAGGGTACTATCCGGCAGGTGTACATGGTATGGTCCTTGGTATTGTGGTTGATTTGAGTGCCCTGCCTTACTTTCTCCGTCCGTTTCCTGATCCTTACCGAGTGGCCGTCCCCGATCGGTTGGTCCCAGTCGGCTCTGATTGTGTCAGTCGGAGAGGAGCTGTAAGCAGGGGTTCGGCGTATTCCGGTCAGAGAAGCGGGCCAGAGTCGGAAGCGAGCGTTGTTCCTCTTTGGCCAGGCTTTCCGGTCGGAGAGGCGGGCCGGAGTCGGAAGCGAACGCCGTTCCTTTTTAACGAGGCCTTCCGGTCGGAGATTGGATCGCCCTTCTGGCCTTTTGTTTAGGTATTTGGGTCGGCTCAGGAGTTTGAGCGTCGTTCGCAACGTCATCTGTTGGGCCGAGCCTTTGTTGAGAAGCCGGTCCATGAGGGACCCCGGGTTTATGAACCCGACAGCTTTTCTCTTTGGATGATTTCTTGAAGTCATCAAATCGACAAAGTAATGTCAAAATTTGCAGTGCCGCCAGAAGAACTGTATGCAATACAATTAGCTTAGCTCCCATACAAGCCTTGGCCGCTAACGCTGGAAATGTTCATCAAGGTGGGCTAATAGAATATGATGATGATCATAACTGTACTCTGATCATGTTATCTGTAGTTGGCATTGTGAGATCATGTCCGGTTCATTGGCTTTACACCTGAGATTAAGAGGCGGCATCTAGATTCTGTGTTTAAGGATGAATAAAGAGTGTACTGGCATAACCTTTCGTATACGTGTGGTCCGGTGTCATGTTTAAAATTGTTGTTGGTACATTGGGTTGCTGTACATACATATTAATCTTTTGCAATCTTATTTGCAATGTACATGGACAATGTGCCTTCTGTACAAGCGGGTGGGGGAGGGAATATGCGGTGCAAACCACGGTAACTCATAAAAAACTGTATTTTGATTGCTCAAAAAAATATGAGTTGCATCATATCCCATCGACGTCTTTTGTTTCAATAGTTGGGATTCCCTCAATTTTTTTAAAAAAAATATGAGAATAATAAATTCAGTGAATTTGTCATTTTTATATGAATTTTTATAGAGTATGAATTCTAATTTTTGGTACAAAAGTACATCTGTGCTTTTTGAACGTGCATCGATTCTATTTTTTATTGCCATAGAAATATGTTTTTGATTGAATCTTAATGAAGTATTTCAAATTTGATAGAATTAACTTTGAAATTAATGCAACCGGTAGCGTTAGCACGAGCAATATACTAGTTTGGCTAATATGCTGGTTTTGTCTACATATATATTTTTTTAAAATAATAAAATATAGTTAAATCCTAAAATTTCATAGCTAACTCACTTTAAATAAAAATAAAACTGGTACAATTTTGTCTAAAACTACAGCCTACCTGTTAGTGCTGAAGTGCTCTATTTAGAGTTTTTTTATCTTATTTGTTCATGTTTCTAGTGCTTCATTGCTCGTTTATCACAGTAACTATTTATTTAAGCTATATTTTTGTGCTTTACTTATGTTGATCACATTATGTTTGAGCGTTTGCCTTATTTGAAACCTATTACCTAGTCAAGCAATCAAGATAGAGTAAATCACTAACCATTCAATGCCTAAATAGTGCTTATATGTGTTGGAGCATGGCATGGGTTGGCATCACCGCTGAGATCTTCCATGTACACTTGGAATCCATTAGATCTTTTTTGCTGATCTCCTAGTCTGATATAGCGCAAAATGATAAATAACATTCGTGACTACGAGCAACAAAATACCAATAATATGACCGAGTAAGAGCCAAACAAGTTTACCACTTTAAATAGATCACCAATAAACATATGATAATTTTAGATTTTGTAATGATTTTTTTATTTAAATGAATTAGTTATTGATTTTTAGAGATTTAACCATATATTCGATAACCGAAATGCTTATTATGGCCAAAGTTGCCCCATTTTTTATACTTTTTATAGTTTGATGGCCAAAAGTATCTGGTTTTGAAGCTTAACTGTCAAAATCGGACTTACTTATTACTCTGAAAAAAAGAGTCCAAAGTTCCTTAGTGGAAGAAAAAATGGCAGAATAACATCTAAACCCCCGGGTCCACTTTCATCATCATCATAAAACAAAAGTAGAAGAAGTCCACTGGCAGGAGCTGGACCACGGGCTCAGGGCCAGGGCCCACTCCCTCCTCGTCCCTATTTACAGCCGACGAACGGCCCGGATACCTCGGCTTCCTCCATCGCACCCACCCGGAGCGCCTCCTCTTCTCCAGCGTCCGATCCCCATTCCCCACCTCTCCTCCTCCGTCTGCGGCCAGCTCCTGCCCTCTTCTCTCCCCTCCTCGCCTCCCCGCGCGCGCGTTTTTATAAGGTACGTACGGCGCGTTGACACGCTGCGCGCCCGCCACCTTCCGATTCCCGGCGGCGCCTCTCTAAGCTCTGACGCGATCGATGCCGTGTGGCTTCGTCTTGGTGGATCTAGGGTTTCGGCGGAGGCGCCCGGTCGCCGGCGATGGCGGACGACGGCGGGAGCCACGAGGGCGGCGGCAGCGGCGGCGGCGGCGGCTACCGGGAGCAGGACCGGTTCCTGCCCATCGCCAACATCAGCCGGATCATGAAGAAGGCCGTCCCGGCCAACGGCAAGATCGCTAAGGACGCTAAGGAGACCCTGCAGGAGTGCGTCTCCGAGTTCATATCCTTTGTCACCAGCGAGTGAGTTGACACGACGCCCGGTAGCGTAGCCTTGGCCTTGGATCGTGTTCTCCTTTTTAGTTTGAGACAGTTTCTGATGTATGTGGCGACGGCGCGGATGCTGCTTGCAGGGCCAGCGACAAATGCCAGAAGGAGAAGAGAAAGACGATCAACGGGGACGATTTGCTTTGGGCGATGGCTACGTTAGGATTCGAGGAGTACGTCGAGCCTCTGAAGATTTACCTACAAAAGTACAGAGAGGTCATTGATGGCTTGCCCTCACTGTGTTGTAGATGTGGATCTTCTCTCTTTATTTTAATGTTTTGTACATCTCTCTCATGGTGTTTCTTTGTGCCCTTCGCATATTCAATTCTGGTGATGGGCTGATGATTGCAGATGGAGGTACTCTTCATACTTCTATTTAATTTTTTTGTCAGAACAACACTTATTTGACTTTGCTTTGGCTGAACTGTAGAAGTGTACAGTGTACACAACATTATCAGGTTATTAACCTATAATAACACCTTAGTTAGAAAACATAGAACACTTGACAGGAAATACACTATCAGTTTAGGAACCTGCAAACTAGTAGGCATTAACACCTGAACAAGACTGCTAGTTCTAAGAAACAGTGCATACATGATCTCGTTTGTTTTCTAAATTGCTTATTGTTTGTTGGATTGCGCGACTTACCAAGCAAGCTCCTGGGCAACTAGTGTTGTTGCTGTGAACAAGTTAATAGTCTCATGTACTGTTTGCACATCCAGGATGCAACTGAAAATTGATCACAATTTTTCGGAAAATTCTTGTAGGGTGATAGTAAGCTGTCTACAAAGGCTGGCGAGGGCTCTGTAAAGAAGGATGCAATCAGTTCCCATGGTGGCACCAGCAGTTCAAGTAACCAGGTTATTATTTTTTTATATGTATTGACCACCCCTCCCAGTTATACTTGAAACTGACTGGTAGCGCTGGCAGTGGCCAGGCTGACCAGTCGCGTTCGAATCCCAGTCTGGGCGAACAGCCGGGTGCCGCATAGGGACCAAGCATGTGGCTTGGTGGTGCGTTCTGAGACTGCTCAGACAGCCCATCCGCGTTTGAGGGTGCGGTCTGCACGGGTGCCCGTTCCTGTTCGAGTTCTTAGATGATTGCCAGTGCTCCTGGCAGATTTAAAAAACAAACTTGAAACTGACCTACTCATGTTACTTACAGTTGGTTCAGCATGGAGTTTACAACCAAGGGATGGGCTATATGCAGCCACAGGTAATCTATCATACTGTCATTTGTCAGTAAAACAATGCTGCAGCGAATATTTCAATTGTTACATTATTTCACCGACAATTTTCTCTCTGTATGCACTTAGTACCACAATGGGGATACCTAATAAAGGGCTAAGACAGCAGCAATTTATGGTAATATTGTTGCTCCCAGAATCTTTTTCCCCAAAGATTTTGTATATCCACGTTTCCTGCCTTCTTGTTTGTTCTGACAATTGCTTCTTTCTCTCCAGTGTCTATCCATCAGCTAGGGAAGTCTGCATTACCATGCTTATTGGCAGAAAACAGAAGGCACCTACAAAGGGTGTTAATTTTTGCGATGGCTGCCTCTCAGGTGTAAATTGGCTTCCATGAGAATAGTTCACCTATGGTTTAGCGCTGCTTTTGTCTGTATATTTAGAATGAATTGACTGTCGCTATTTTTGCAACCTATTACATTCACAGATATGTATTATTAAGCATAAATATAATGTAGTAGTCCTAGGCCTAAATAATGGTGATTAACATACAAGTCTGCTATCAGGCTACTCATTTTCTGGAACAGGATTCATGCTTGGCTTTCCCTCCGGTCTGAATGTGAAGCTTGTCTGAATCCTAATTTGCGTGTCTGTGCTGTGGGGAAATAATAGCATCTCCACCGTATCTCTTATGAATCTCCAATAAGTTATGTTAGTAGAGTATTTTAAAATCAATTTAGGATATAAGAGAGCACTGCCGTAGCAGATTACTAAAACTTGTCTCCTATATTTCTTTATTTAGGGATAGGGAAGAAGGGGAGACAACTTTGTCTCCTATATTTCTTTATTTGGGGATAGGGAAGAAGGGGGAGACAACTTGTCTCCTATAATTCTTTATTTATTTAGTGATAGGGAAGAAGGGGTTGTCTCCTTTATTTAGGAGAAAGGGTGTTTCTGATCTCTTAAAAATTATACGTATACGTATAGAAGATGAGCCATCTTCTAAAATGTTGTTTTTTAGGTATAGGAGATTGGATAGGATATTTATGGAGATGCTCTAGGCATTTCCACTGGTGGTATTGGTCTACACAAGAAAAATTATATGGTGCTCCATTTAGCTAAAATACCATGTTGCAATTTTTTTTTAAAAAAAAATCATCGCTAAATCATGTATGCAGCACACCTAAAGTTAATAGTAGCCACAACAATTCAATTTGAAATTCATATTTGATGCTGAGATTCAAATAACACAAGTGCCACTGTGCTACTGTTTGCACATGAACAGTGCTAGGTTAACTGCTTGTCTTTTTTTTTTTCTGACATCTAGAATGAATTTCAAACCGAATTGTTGCAACTATACTTAACTTTATATGTATTACATACATGACTTTTGTGATGATTTTTTAAACATTGTAACAATATATTTTAGCTAACGAGGAGGTCCCATGTGCGCCACATCTTCATTGTCTATACAAACCTCCGTTGGGTTGGCTTCCTAACCCATGTGGTTTTCCTCCTCAAAATTCTCCTCTCTTCTCCACAGAATTGATAGCCACGGTCCACAGTGTGCTTGATACCGCCCTATCCACAACAGACGGTCTACGGCAGCTCTAGCGGAGGAACCCTTCCAACCGACATGTTCGCAGATATATATGATGTTGATATACTATTTTGTATCTGAATTCTAAGCCCAAGAAAAAAAATATGTATCTATATCTGGTATGTTTACACCTCAGCCTGTTCGTTTGGTCGTAAACGATTATAAATTTCCAGCCAGAAACAGTGTTTTTCTCTCACACCAAACCAGCCAGCAGTAAATAATCCACGATCCATTACGGTCTTCCGAACAGGCTGTATATCAATCCGTTGGTCAAACTTCCTCCCATGCTTTCCCTTCTAAAGTTCACTCGCTAAGTCATTATTTGGAGAGCTTTTTTTCATAAAAAATCGCTTTCTATATTTTTTCGTTTTCCAATAATTTTTTTATATCTTGTGTGCACTCTAAAGAGTCATCTCGTTTTTTTATCTTTGGCTAGCGAGAAATCCATAATAAAATATGGCTATATTTGAATAACCAAATAAAGAAACCGTTGGAGGGTGTTTTTTTTCATGAAAACCATATTCCTAGAGTCTCTTGAGATTGCTCTTCCTTGTTGAATTTGATGCTAAAGGTAGTTACTTAGCATTCTCTATAAGCTACTTAAGTTTGATCCTTTGTCGGTCTGTCCTTTCCATTAGGTGTTAAGGTATCATTAATTTTTAAATTATATTTTATATATATAATAAATTCCAACATATTTGTTTTAACAAAAAAAACATGATTACATGCCACACTCATTGGACTCTCTCAGTTCCAAATTATTAGTCACTTTTGTTTTGTTCTTAGTCAAATTTATCTATTTTAAACTAAGTTTATAAAAATATACATCAAAGTGCACTCTAAGACATTGTATGGTGGATTGAATGAAACTAATTTGGTATTATAAATGTTAGTATATTTTTCTATATATTTAGTTAAAGTTAGATAAACTTAATTTAGGATAAAACTAAAAAAATTTAGAGTTTCAGGACATCACCCCGGCTATTGCATTATATGAAGGACCACCGATTACAACATCAGGGTACTAACACCCAACATTCGAGCTCACAAAATGTCTCAGAAACACCGAAACAAACTCCAGCTGAACAAAACACAACACCTTACATCTTCCACTCCTCTCTCAACTTCAGGAAATTGACCCACTTCCCTTGCTCAAAAGAATAAAACTAAAAGAGTTAAATGCACCAGATATCCATTAACTTGTGAGGTTGTTTCAGTTAGGTTCATCAACTTTCAAAGTGACTTTTTGAGTCCATAAACTTTAATGTTGTATCACTTAGATCCATATCCCTCCACGTAGGCTTCTCGTGCTGACGTGGCCTGCTGACTTGTCGTTCAGAAGCAATTGTTGACCATTCGTTTCGTCAAACATGCACGCAAGCAGGTGCCGCGGCCACACGGGCGTGCAAGCGGCCGGCTGCCCCCGTCCACCGACTCCTCCCCGCGGCACCTGCGCTCCTGCGGCGCGGACGAGGCGGCGGCCTCGGCCATGGCCGCGCGGTCATCCTGCGAGCGCGCGGTCCGTCACGGGGGCGGCGTCCCCCACGGCAGCCACCAGCGGAACAAGGCCAAGGACGCCGCCGCCGCGCCCGGGGAGGATCCGAAGAAGAAGCGGTCGTCGGGGTCGCAAGAGCAGGCGGCGCCCGCCCCGCATTGTTCCTCCGCGCCAGGGCGCTCGTGCTGCCATGCCTGTGCGTCCGCCCGCTCGTGTCCTTGCCGCTGCGGCTATGCTGCGCCCACACTGCTGCCCACGTCTGCTGTTCGCTTGCCGCCTGCTGCCCGTGTCACCATTCGCCGCTGCCCGACCAGCCGGAAACGAGGGGCGCCTTTGCTTTCCGTCCTTGCCGTGTGATCTCTCCTCCAAAGCCATGCCTCGGATCGCGGAACACGGACGCCATGGCTATGCATGCTGCGCGGCTGCCAGTGTTCCCGCCTTTCCTCGAGCCCGCCTTTGCACCCCCCCGCGGCGCGCCGTGGCCTCCGGTGCAGCAGCAGCCCTCGCCGCTTCATACGCCACACACCACCGCCGCCAATGCCATGAGCGCACAAGGCCAGAGCGCTTTGGTCCGCCTTAGGCCGAAGCTCGCCCATTCCACAGTGCGTCGCGCTGCCATGCCTGTGTTCCGCCTCTTGCCACAGAGCCATCTCACTGCACCACAGGCCGTTGTCCGCCGGGCACCAAGTGGGCGGCGCCGCCACCCACGACGTCGCCAACCGCCCGATCACCACGCACGCGTACCCCCACGAGCTCGCCGTCCTCCATCCGCCACGCAGCGCGTTGCTAGGCGTCTAACGCTGCAGCGAGCCCCCCCATAAGCCTTCCCCGCGCGAGCCACGCCTCGGTGGACACGATGCCGTCCCGAGAGGTCGGTACAAGAAGACGCTGGTGCGCCGCGCGCAGCGACTCCGCTGCGGCACCACGCGCTACGCGCATCACGTCCGCGCGCATCGCCGCGCGCCCAGCGTCATCTGCACTAAGCCCACGCCACGCCCCGCGCGCCGCCATCGCAGACTTGGCCTCGGCGCGGTTCGAGAACTTCCCCACGGCGAGGTTGGCGCGGCAGACAGGCGTGGCGGTGTGGCGTCTGGCGAGCCACGTGTCGATGCGTCCCGGGTGGAAGACGTGGGAGCACTTGGGCAGCAGGTGCAGCGTCTCGTCGTCGTCGTCGAACTTGCTGAGGCAGACCGCGCACTCGAGCGCGCCCTTGCCGGCCTTGTGCGCCTTCACGTCGGCGGCGGAGGAGTTGGCGACGAGGCGCGTGCCCTGGCGCAGCGACTGCCCGGCCGTGCGGTTCAGGTCCTTGATGCACGCCGGCACGCGGTAGATGGAGTGGCGCTGCCACCGCGACACCTCCACCGACGCGTCGACTTCGTACAGCATCTTCTCCACGTCCCCTCGCTCACCTGCTCTCGCGCCCACAGCTGGTGGCTGCCGGCCGGGCTCGCGCCGGCGCTGGTGGCTGCCGTGGGGGACGCCGCTCCCGTGACGGACCGCGCGCTCGTAGGATGACCGCGCGGCCATGGCCGAGGCCGCCGCCTCGTCCGCGTCGCAGGAGCGCAGGTGCCGCGGGGAGGAGTCGGTGGAGGGGGGGCAGCCGGCCGCTCGCACGCCCGTGTGGCCGCGGCACCTGCTTGCGTGCGTGTTTGACGAAACGAACGGTCAACAGTTGCTTCTGAACGACAAGTCAGCAGGCCACGTCAGCACGAGAAGCCTACGTGGAGGGATATGGATCTAAGTAATACAACATTAAAGTTTATGGATCCAAAAAGTCACTTTGAAAGTTGATAGATCTAACTGAAACATCCTCACAAGTTAATGGATCTCTGGTGCATTTAACTCAAACTAAAATGACTTAGGCTTTGCTTGGTAGGGCTCGTCTTCAAGGGCTCCTTCCTTTTCACCGAAAACTGTTTTAAACAGTTCCTCCTACTAAACCGTTTAGTAGAGCTCCTCCGCAGGTATCGGAGTCGGAGCTCTACCAAAGGGAGCCTTTTGAAACGATGAGAGTATCACTTCTCTTTTTCAGATGTTGAGATCCGGCTGAAAGTGAAAACTTCATGCGAAGTGCCTAATTTGGTTCAAACGTTCAGTTTTTTTTAATTTCCCGAGTCATCAAAACTACCGTGCTTTTTTTTATCTTTCTCTGAAAAAAAAAAAACACCGCACTAGCAGCATCCATTGTTAGGCCAAGCTTTTTTTTTTGAGCATTTTGTTAGGCCAAGCTTCCTCAGAGTCACAAGTCACGGAGAACAAAAAAAATACTCCAAATTGTAAGTCACAAGTTACGGAGAAGAAAAAAAAAACTCCTACGCTTCGAAATTGTAAGTTGAATGCTGTGTAGAAAAACCAGACCGACGGAGATTTTTACAATTTAGAACGGAAGAGTATCATATATTCCTCCTTCGATCGATCGGATAAACATAGGTTCCGATAACAAATCTAGAGTAACTAACTAAAATTGGTGGGCATCAGCTGATCAGCATCAAGTCCTGGTGGAGGCTAGCGTTTACATCCAAACATCACTAATATTTGCACGAGTACCGTTCTCGTCACGGCAAAAGAGATCTGCCACTCATCATCATCATGGGAAATAAGGAAAAAAAAAACGTTTCCCCGTGACTTTAAATTCCAAACATACAGTTAATTGTGTGAACTTTCCTGACGAACTAGTACGGTTACAATGAGTTGGCCACCAATATTGTTACCCTGATGGGGATTTGCACAAAAAGTTAGAAACTATACAAATGTGTAGGACATCAATATTTCGAGGTGATTTACAGAATGCAACTTGCGACTGAAAAGGGAACAGTCAATTTATCGGTTAGGTCAATAGTAAACCCTTTTTTTTCCAACAAAGGCCAATAGTAAACTTAACCTATCACACGGACCACACAAAAGGTCTGTCAGTACATGAACATTAGTCACATCAGACAAAAGAGCAGCATTAAAAAGAATAAGCACAAGGACAACTATTTATTTGATTTGTCAAAAAAAACAGTAAAATATCTTGTATGCCTTTCTTCCAGCCTCGGCATATGAATGGCCAAATACATCTTTTCCATTCATACGTGGTAAGGGCCAGTCATGTTGATAAAATTCAAAGCTAAAAGTGCGCGGGCAAATCTACATTTCTATCTTTTTTGTTAGCAACTATAATCTGCATCTCCGTTGGAGTAACTGTACGATGAACCTGCCCTCTACAATATTGCTGTAAACTTACAAAATCTCCTTCCAAAAGGCTGGCAATCTCAACGTCGACTGCACTCATGCGCTAGGAAGAAATCTAGCGGTCTGACAAAATGCTGTGTATCAGGGAAAGCCCATCTTGCCCACGAAATTTGACACCTGTGCTCCAAAAATTTCTTTGTAAGAAATGAACCAATCTCTTTACGTGCTGAACTACACATGCATCAGTCTTCGTCATCTGCCAGCAGAGCAAATGAAAATGGCTTGAACTTGTAACCATCCCCGTGATAGAACTTGTTCATGAACTCAACCCAGTGCAGACGCAGTGCATGCAGGAAGGCACTCAGTGTTTCCATCATGAGCAATATGAAAGCAGTAGCAAAAGCAAAAACTATAAGCCCTGCCAACTTCACGATAAGACTGTCATACCTATGAATAACAGAGTAGCAATCTTAGTATGTGATCATGAAATTTTGGCTCATCAAGCAAGTACAAAGGAAAAGTATCGGAAGGTTTCTTATAAAAGCAGCAGACAATATATTGAAAACTGGATGCGGAGTTTGTCAGAGTAGCAGCAAGTGCTTACCCCCAGGCAAGTAACAGCAACTTCTCATAGAAAACTGTTGACAGCTCTGAATGCGCCAAGCTGAAACCAACAATCAATACACAGAAGTGAGGAGTTGAAACGGGGAAAGTTAAAACTGGCAGCAACCAACAAGACATCACAATTCACAAGAGGCAAACCTCAGAGCCCAAAGTCGAAGATAAGATGCAGTATTTGAAACTGCACCAAGTACAAACTCAATGGAATGTATCATTTGATGCACAAAAACTTCGCTGAAATTGAAATCATCATGACGTGCTCGGGCGGAATCAGGTTCAGAATCTGGATCCATTTCAGATGTCCCTAGGAAGCGATAGGTGTGACCTTGAAATCTCTGCATCCGGGTATACAAAATTAGTTATTTTCTCCTTGCCTACTTAAACATAAAAAGGAATTTCAATTTCTTTCTCATAAACATTGATCATTTACATAGATTTGTTGAGAAATTTTGAGGCTGTGCTAAGTAAAAGGGTCGTGGTTAAAGAGAACTTAGTACAGAAAATTGCCTTGATATATTTTCCAAGAACAATTTCCAAATCACAATACCTCCTTATGAAGTTTCTTCAAGATAAAAGGTTTTGGGAAGAGCATCCATGGAACAGCGACCAAAGCCAGAAGTAACAACAATATCTGAAAGAAAAGAGATAAGTTGGCACACCAAGGATGTTGGAAATACAGAGTATTACTTTTCTTTTTTCAGAAGGATGCACTTAATTGAACCTGAAGTTCCTTTTGGCCCCAAAACAATTCATTTTCTCCAAGATCTCCAGCAGGATCAAGGAACATATATATCATCACATGATAAAGATCAGCTTGAGAGCCCGTGCACCACTTGATAAGAATCAGGAGTGCTAAGTAACCAAAAAGGCTATTCAGGAAAATCATCTGTGGTATGAATTGATACCTGAAGAAATGTGCACAGTTAAAGCACTGCCATTTCTCTTTATTTGGCTGTATCAGAAGAGAAGATACAAAGGAATATACAACACCTTATGTCAAGGGCATTTCCATGAAATCGTGCGTCAAAATAACTTAATACAATCCCCAGGTTCATCTGGGCAACACCCATTAGTATAGACATCTTCATCTTTAATGAGTTTAGAAAAGGTAGCTCAGAACGACTTCCACGCCAGCTTGGGTCCACCCCAAAAGGATAGGGGTCACGGACTTTGATGAGACCAATAGTATGTGCATCACTGAAACAAAAGGTTAGGTGTTAAATCTTGGCGGAGAAACATGCAGTGCATGGCTATCTGACATTAAAGTGAGTTACATGCAAAAATTGCTTCCTTGACCTACTGTTGCTATATGTTAATAGAGGAGGTCAAACATTACATTAACTACCTGCCATTCAGAAAAGGAACAAACAAACGGATGAAGGTCTATAGACCATCAACAAAAAATGGCTACAACCAAACAAAAAGTATGGCTCTCTAGACCACATACTTCACTATAGACAATGCACTAAGAAATTCACGTCACAATTTGAGTAGTAGGTGCACATAATTTTAAGTCGAAACTTAAAAGGCTTGTGTATGATCAATGAGCGACGGCGCATGTCCCTAACATTTTATGCATCTCTCTTTGATAGTAGCGCAAAAGATTAAGGTATAGACTTTCTGTAATTTGACATATTTATTGCATAGACTGTATACCCTGTCACCCTGTGATAGCAACTTTAGGGCCTGTTTGGATACAAGGGCAAATTGCTAGCTAGCAAAAAATTAGACAAAAGTAGCTCTAGTGCATCCAAACATGAGGGCTAATAGGTGGACTAATTTTTTAGCCAGCTAGCTAGCTAACCACAGCTAATGTGGGCTATTTTTTAGCCCCAACTAGTAACTAGCCATGTGTATCCAAACAGGCCCTTAGTAGTGTAAGCCTGAAAAGTGAAAAGGGGGGAATGCACTTGCTCTCTCATGTAGCAAATTGAAGATATAGTGATAGGACTGATAGTGATTATTACCAAATTAAGATACTGTGACCAAATAAAGCAGGGATTTCGCCGGCAACCAGAAAAACAGAATAACTAACAAATAATTGAGCTTACGTGGGATTTTAATTGATATTATGATTCCTCCAGCATTTTACAAAATTCAGAGAACAATTATCTCATTAAAACTTAAAGACATTGAAGAGCAAGCACACCTGCAGCTTTTGTCCCGGCATTCATACGCAGATTTGCCAAATATATGGAATGGAACTGAGAAGAACTCATTGTATATAAGGCCACAGTATATTGAGAATATTGCCATCAGAAGAATAACATATCGTCCACCGAATGCCAACTCCATAAAGCTGCCAAGCTTCTGAAATAAGTTATAAACCAAAGGTTACTTGAAGAGATTAAGTGTGCTTGCACAGACACTGTGAAATAAATGGCAGCATGCAATGTTCAAATTAAAGCTCCTGAAGCTACACTAAAACAAGAGATAGCTTCCAAACAGTTTCATACTTATAAAGGAAAACTTTTGAAAGCACTTTTTTTTTCAAACATGCAGGAGAGCTGTGTATCTTTATATTAAGAATTAAGAAGAAATAAAAAGGGCAACAGAGACCTTCACAGAACCGTGCCAAGATTTATGTCCCGTTTGAATCCCCTATAGATTTTTTTTCTTCTAGAACTACTCAAGAGATCTGCGTGACATTTCATTAAGGTAGAAGAATACAAGACGAGCTGGATTTAGAAAGAAACCCAGCTCGCCGAACAAAACAACACCACACCCACCCACCCTAACTGAGAAGGAAAGGTTGGGGGTGGTTCTATACAAGACCAGTACCTGAACAACAAAACTACCCTAGAAATTAGGCAAACTGGACCAAAGACCTCACGTAAGCAATTCACTAAGCTTTGATGCTCTAGCCATGCACCACAAACTGCACTCATCTCCTATGATTTGCAGGAGTGTATGGATACTAGGCAAGGCTCCTTCAAACAATCAAACACACAAGAATTCGGTGCTTCCAGGATTCCCAGGATACGAGAATGATGAGATAATTTAATCCTTTCCGCATCTCCTTTGGGACTACTCCCCTAACAGCTTTTCTCTACCAGTTTGAGAAGAGGACATCTGTGGTAGTGGGAGCCACAGCAGATAAGTTCAGATGCTGCAAAATCAAGAACCACACCTACCGAGTGAAAAAAACAGGAGTTAACAGGTCCTGGACTGGATTGTCTCCTCTTCCTAGTCACAGAAGGGGCAGGCATCCTGGTGCGGCAGACCCCTTTAGCTAAGCAATCGGCAGTCCAACAGCGGTTCTTGAAGGCCAAGCAAATGAAAAACTTGCAGCAAAGAGGAGCCCGCCTCTTCCAAATTTTCTTCCAAGGAGATAATTTAATTGAACCCGTGAAGAAAGCAACATAGGATGATTTGCTTCTATAAGAACCTGACTGGGTAAGCTTCAAACAGTGCCTATCCTGGAGATCTTGTTGGGAATAAGGCCATCAACTTGATCCCATAACAGCAAATACTCAGTGAGGACCTGCACTGTCAAGGCCCCATTGATGTTGGCCACCCAACTGTTTTCCAGGGCCTCCGATTCGCGACAACCCTCTTTGGGATCAACTTGATCAGGTTGGGAGCAATTTCAGCAACTGTCCTGCCACTCAACCAGCGGTCTGCCCAAAGCGAATTGTTTCACCATTCCCCACTATTGATTCAAAATCTGGATTCTAAATATAGATTTTAGAATCCAGATTCTAGATATAAAGAATCTCTACTTATTTGGATCCTAGATTTTATATTGAGATAATACTTATTTGAAGTATTATTTTCTCTATAATACTCTTAAACATTTTTTTACCCGATATGGCTGTGAATTGGCACCAACTACAAAAAAAACAGGCATGCAATGCATGTGTTCCATCGATGGTAGTGAGAAGAATCCAGTATTATCTAGCTTTCCACGGATTCTTATGTTGGATTTTTTTTACCCCTGCGTTATCCCTCGGCTGTTACTTAGATTCTTTTTATCGGATTTCGATAATCCAAGAGGGATTCAAACAGGGCTGAAACAGACAAGCATCACTGGAGCCAAAGGACCCAGAAAAACTCTTCAGTGGGTTTCCTGCATGCAGATGTGTTTCACTGGATTCCATTTGCATTACAAGAGTGATTTTCCAAACTTGTATGCAAATATATCACGGTTAATTACTAAATGGGTTATCTGCCATATTTCTGAACAGGTCCCGTGACATAACAGGTTTCTCTTTTGCCTCTAACTCTATCAGAATGAAGTATAATACGTTCAAAAAATGTTAAGGAGTGGATTGTTTAAGAATATTTTTTAGGTGCTAAAATTCCTTCGTGATATTTAATACAGTATAACACAATACATGATTTGTTTCTAATGGCTATGCTAAAGAAAGAAAGAAAAGAATCAAGTTCAGCACCATTTACCTGAGAGGAAAGTCTCTTCTCGCGAAGTATAAGAACCAAAGCTCCTAGTAATAGACATATTCCATGACCCCAATCTCCAAACATAACAGCAAAAAGAAATGGGAACGTCACAACAGAATATACAGCAGGATTAGCTTCTTGATATCGAGCAACGCTGCAACAAAACAAAATCATGATCACAATCAACTCACTATGCAAGGTTCACGATAAACCTATAGGACAAAGCATTTCTTTCATAAGAAAATGCTAAAAAAAGATTGAATATAAGGAACATTCCCAGGCAAAGGTAATCACATCAAACACACATCCAATGGTTCAAGGGATCCCATGATCCAAATAACCACAAAGGTTTCAAGAACACGGAACACACAACAGCCTCAATGACTTAAATGTTACAACAACACAGGGAAAAAAAATTCCCTGGACAAAGTAGCTAGCGTTACTCCAGCTAATTTATTTGATAGCATTCAGTGATAATTATAAGCACTAAGCAACTACTAAAAAGGCCGAGGTATATAACAGAATAAAACCATCCATCATGCAGAGTTTTGAAACTATGCACATACCCATATGCATCAACAATTTCCTGGAAAGCATTGGTAAACTTATCAGTTCGGAAATATGTAGGCGGTGATTGAATAGTGTCCATCTCATGAAATATTGTTCCAACTTGTGAATTGCTGTGAAGTGTGGCACGCTGCAAACAATCCTCGATCTGAAATGCAAGTTGGAAAGTAAGAAACATCTTCTGAAACTTCTGTTCTGTAAAAAAATGAATGATCATAATGGTTCAAATTAAACGTATTGTTTTTACCTGAGATTTAGCAAATATAGGACACCATCCTTCTCCAACAAGGCACTTCTTTGTCACGTCAAAGTTCAACATGTTGAGTGTGTCGTATACAGCTTTCTCTTTTTTAACCTAAAAGGAATACAAAAAACTTATGGTTCATAAATGCCAGTACTAGCAAGAAAAAAGTCCACACACCATATTATTTTAGGTGTGAAAAAGTTGCAGAAATAGAAAATGATAAATTGGTATTTACTTTATTACCATGATTGTCCACCTCCATAATTGTGATCCTATTGACTCAAGAGCTTTGTTCCTGTGCTGGATTCCAGCATCCAAAGTAACTTCCAGGTCAGAGAGACGAGCCGATACCTGGCAGAAGTCATAAATTGTAAGTTACTATCATCAAAGCCTCAAGAACACTCTAGTGATATAGCAATATATAGAATCAAATCACATGTTGCATTTCAAAGTAAGCAAATGAACTAACAAAATAGTGTGCCAAACAGGGAAATTAATACCTCATTGAAAATTTGTCTCTGCTTGACCATTTCCTCAGGAACAGGGTAGCAACTTGTTCCAAATGAATCACAAATCTTAAGTATCTTTGCTTTTGCTTGTTCCCCAGAAAAGAAAACTACAAAAACAGTTTTCTCTACCTGTCAAAATGTTAACATATTATTCAGAATCTTTTAAGGTACCAAATGAACTAAGTTGGTTTTCTGAACTAGAGTATTGCATTTATTTTAGCTGAAGTAAATAAAAACTGAAAACAGAGTCCAAATAATGCGATCAGTAAATATTCTGAAGCAAATTTAGCAAAATCTTTAACTCAATATACACAGGAATTAGCAAGGGCAAACCATGATGATCAGACCTCTTCACCAGATATGGGATCAGTTACAGGTTCCCCTGCAGGTGCCTGATTGAATAACATGTTTCCTCTTGTAGCTCGAAAAAGCATCCGCTCAAAAGCAAGTGCCTTCGACTTTAATATTATTCCACTAACAAATCTCACTCCAGAATTTCCATGTGCTCCTTGATGCACTCCCTGGGAACACTTCTGTTTATAATGGTGGAACAGGCAATGGAATAGTGTTAACATTATGGATCAGGGCTAAAATAAGACCTGTTCGAGCAAATAGGCATTTCCCTCGTCTACTCCATTGTCATATATATTTTCATCTAGCTCACGCTCAGCTGAAGCTGCATGGTTGTGAGAAGAAGCAAGGATGCCACCTGCCTGCAAGATGTTGTTTGAGAAAACATGGAATGGAAAGAAGAGCAAAATACTATTTAAACCAAATTTGATATTTTACTAGAAATGACTAACTACAGAAGGCGATTGTGCTTGCCAAGCAATGTTGCAGGTCATAATGTAACAAAAATCACCTAACATTACCTACAGTATAATTTCTGGCATGTTTTATTTTCCACAAGAAAATTCACTAGGTGTATCATTGAAGTCAAAAGAGATATTTATCTTTCATTGAACATACATAAGAAAACACATGGATCGTAATTTCAATCAAGTCACAAGAATGAGATACAACCTTTGACAAGACCAGCTTGAATTCAAGAAGCTCATTGTATGTCTGTTGTAGCTTGTCACTATTTGTATTCATCTCAAGCAGTTCATGCTCATGTTCACCCAATCTTGCCTGGAGAACCAACAAAAGCAAGTCTTTATTCTCACTCAACCAAGCTATTTGTTTTCACTTAAAACAGCAACCTTCAAAAGAAAAAGCATAGAAAACTTTCTATTACAGGAAAGATGAGTAATGCACCTCTAGCTCCTCCAGATCAATATCCGGTTCAAGTGCAGGTCGAACAGAAGATCTTACACCTGCTCTGTTGATCTGATCACTGAAAAATCTTAGTTTGCGTGACATTTCTGCACATCGCTTTACCTGCAAGGGAATTGAGGTATGTTTGTCAACATAATAAAAAAAGTTAGTGAGACCAGTGATTTTCAAATATCGGAGTTGGTGTACCATGAACATAAAATAAAGAAAGCAACAGCCCAAACACAATAAGTTTTAGTACCAGCCGCTTTATCATCTTATTGTTTCTGTATTATGCTATTTTTTACAAAAAAGAAAGGATCTATCATCTGCCATACTGTATTCAGTGCTATGAGCATATTTCAACTGGTAACTTGATTGGCAATACCGTACACATGATATCAAATACCATAATGGAATGAATATATTTACCCTTTTTCCCCAAAAAAAATACACTGCATATTTATTTACCAAAATTCTTGTTTCCCAGCTGCTTCCAACAACTTTGGGAAACAAAGAAAGTTCAGAGTATTAATCTTAACCATTTGATAGATTGACTCGGTTTGATTCTGTGTGTTCTCTGTAATTATTTTTATGAGAACAGAAACATTCATTATTCATAGTGTGAAAGTGAAACACCCAATCCGTCACGCTTGTACTGGAGAACTGAACTATATAATTTATGTATTTCAACTTTTTTTTTTTTTTTTTGGGGGGTGTTGACAAACTTAGATGATGTTGCCTATTTTTCAGAAGAAGAAGAAAAACTACCAAGAACAAAGCTATTAGTAATCTTTTTTTTGTAACTTTCTTGTGTTCCATTTAAATTCCAGCAAATGAAAAGAAAAATCCCTACAATGTTTATCGCTGTGCAATTTCCTTGAAGTGATATATCTTATCAAAATTTTAAAAACTAGTCATCCCACTGCACATTGGATTAGTCCAACACAAGGAGTACTATCTGGGTATTACATAACTGTAACACCCAAGTAAAGATCTTGTTTAACAAATAGAATAAATAAGTGACAAATAAAACCAAATAAAACATGGTTTCCAAATCCATGTCTAAGATAAGGCATTTGTGTAATAAAAAAAGGTGCATGCAAACTAAGATGATCAGCACAAAAATGAATTGAAGAATAGGGAAAAATGGAATACCTGGTTGACAAATATACGCTGGAAAGGACTCTTATCCTCATTCAACTGCACAAGATAAGAAAAGAGATCAGCAAAATTCATACTATAACAGTCAACACAAAGAGAAACGTATCCTTAAAATGAACGTATGTGATCCCCCCCTCCCCCCTAAAAAAACAATGATGACAGCATATACAGCAATAAAGTGTTGGAGTTGGACGATGACATCACAAGAGAACAAGGTAAAAAAAAAAAAATAGTGCCTCTTTCTTCATATATGGTCACTAGCTCAAAACAAATATAGCTTCCCCATGCGACCCCTCTCCCCCCATAATCAAACATGAAGTGAAGAAAAAATAACAAGGAAAACAATAGGTTTTGAAACCAACCATCCTTACCAATTTACCTATCAAACATCAAGTGAAGAAAAAATAACAAGGAAAACAATAGGTTTTGAAACCAACCATCCTTACCAATTTACCATCAAACAACGTTACAACAAACTGACAATAACATGTGATGCCTCAGAATAAAATCAAACATAATGATAATGAGTTGGTATATAAAAAGCATATAAAACTAAGAGAGTAAACGGACAATGACATGCCAGGGTTTAAACACCTAATCTCAAAATCACAAAACGTCGTTACTCATTTCATTGAACCAATTTATCAGTCTGACTTGCTATATTTGCTTAAAAGCAGAAGACTATGTGTAACGGTATAAGTAAAAAAGAGTTTACCTTAACTCTATAATAATTTGTTCGCACAGACTGTTCAACACAGATAGGTACTGTGAATAATCAAGCGAAGCTAAAGCACAGTGATCCAATTCCGGCTCTCCTACATGGCTACATTAACCCATTCACGTGAGCCATTCGCGTGACCTGAGGCCTCAATGAGACTCCTGGGTTTGTTCCTCTGATCTAACACAACCTCCCACGCCAGCCGATCAGCGTGGCCACCCAAGCCAGCTCAAACGTGAAACGCGCGCCAAACGGGGATCGAATGACACCGGAGATCAAACACTAGCTCTCCAATCCGACCACGTCCTAGAGCTAGATCCAACAGAGTGCAGAGCGTGACGCGCGCAAGCGGGGTCGGGAGAGAGATCACGACTCTAGAGGCAGGATTTAGGTAGATCCGGGCGAGAAAGCCAGAGGCCGTGAGGTAGCAGGGAGAGGCGACAGAGAGGGAGGGGGCACTCACGTCCTTGAACTGGAGTAGGCCGAGCTCGCCGAGGTAGGTGACGGCGAGGCGCGAGCTCTCGGCGGGCATGATGAGCTGCACGAAGCACATCTTCTCGGACCGCATGTGGTCCATCGGGGGCAGCCGGTCGAACACCCCCATCCCGCCCGCGGCCCGCCGGAGAGGAGCGCGGCCTCCCGAAGCTTCCAGAAGGCGTCGCTAGCGCGAGGAGGGCGACGACGCGGTGCGGTGGCCGGTGGTCCGGGTGGCGCCTCAGATCTGAGGGGGCAGGCCGAATTCTATTTTCCACTCTGTTCTGCCGAGTGCGCAACTGCCATGACCCATCAGTGACGGAGGGAGGAAGCGGCTCGGAAGGGAGGCGCGCAGTCTCTGGCCCGTGGGCCACCCCTCCTGGTGGGCGAGGACCGGTCGAGGTTTCGGTTGGGCGCTCGGGCCCCCGAGTTTGGTGTTTTTTACGCAAGTGACCCTGTCGGTCCCGCGTTTCTCGGACTGGGCCTGCCTTTGCCTCCTCGTCATGGCCAGACGACCGACGACGGACGTGAATAGAACGCAAAGAGGAGCAACAAGGAAAGGAAACAATCTGGCGCGCGCGAGGCGTCGGATCATGCGCGAGCGGTTGGGCTGTGTGGCCTTGTGGGCGGAATATACGGGCCGTATCAGAGGCATCGATTTGGTACAGCCCATTTGGAGATTTCCTTTGTGAATTTCGAACCGAATCGTGTCCAGACTTTTTTTATTTTTTTCGCGACCGTGCTAGGCACATGTATTTTATTAAAAGAAAGTAGATAAACATTACAAGCTACCCGTCAATAGTAAGCGCCGAGCTTACCAAAGAAGAGGAGGACCAAGAACACAAAAAAAAAAACCAGAGAAGCGAAAGAAGCTACAACAAACTTAGAGGCGATCTCAACTGTAGGAAGCCTGCAACGCCCAGTCCAAGCCTTTTTTTTTATGCTTCACCAGATTTTATTTGTGCTATAGACCGGCTGAAACTCGCATGTATATTAGAAACCAGATCTATTTTTTAGGAATGGCATCTCCTGCCATTTTAGTTCAATTTCGAACCGGGTCTGTTTCTGACAGCGGATTTGTATTCACAGTCGTATGTATACGACCAGTTAAGCTTTGACTTGGGATTGTTACGAGATGCCGCGTTGCTCCAGTCCAGAATCTCCGCTGCTTTCCATTCCAATGACTGTCTTGAGTTGATTGTTTCGTGGCTAGCTGGTCCATGCGTGATGCGTCTAGCCCAAGCACGATTCTCACTTTCCCCGGCTCTCTGTGCGGATGCTTAGTTGCTCAAAAAGAAAATGTGCGGATGCTTATTCGGCAGCTCTGCACTACGTACGCCGGTGCCTCGTTAATTTCTTTCTCGTCTGAACGGGAACCGCGCACCGTCAATCAAGTCAGAAAGGTTCGGACCGGACGTGCATCTGGAACCGTCTGTCCGTCTCGGCAGGCTCTCCCGGATGGACGATCACCTCGTGAAAACGACGTGCCGCCGATACACAGTAGGGTATGTACACAATTCTACAAAGACGAGGCCACCACTACACCCACTAGGTGGTCACTGGTCAGTGGAGCTATGCACGCGGGCTCGAGCGAGGCTACAGGATCGACGTCTGATACTGACCCAGCAGCGAACGATTGAACGAAAGCCCTGAGGGCTCATGACGTAGACGTACTACGTGACGCCGACGGTGGAGCGTGGAGCGCGATCCGTATCCCTTCGCCATTACTTTGGTGGTTACGAGCAAACCGGGCGTAGGGAGTCGTAGGTGTCGCGATCGCGCGCGGACACGAGCGGAGCCGGCGTATTGAATGCAGTCGCTGCACGCGCGAGCCACGGATGATGATGGCCGGGTGGACGGAGACGGAGCTGGACCGACGTAGGTGTCAACAGAGCAGTGGATACGACGGCAAGCAAGTCAAGTACGATGCCTACCCGCCGCAGCTGCGTCATCGATGGCATTATGTATTCTGTGCTCAGCCAGGATCGACACCGCAAGCAGAGTTGCTTTCAGATCAGATGACCATCCCTTCGTACGAGTTATTACAGATCGGATCGGTCAGTAAACCTTTGGCTTCAGTATTCAGCGACTAAACTTCAGAGCGATTCATGTAACTTCAGGGGACTGAAAGTACTTATAGACATAGGATAATTTGTTGATATACCTCATGTCGAGCGTAGTCACGGCCATTGTGCTGCCAACGAGGTAGCAGTGACGTGGAGACGTGGTCCAGTGACGGCGGCAAAGACGATGACGCTTCCCGTCGCTTACAGCGCGCCCTCTAAATCGGGTTAGGGATAGGAAAACCGGTGGGGCGTTGGCGGCTGCGGTGAACCTGGTGTCTCGAGCCCTAGCCCCCACCTCCTATTTATTGCGCTGCGCGACGGGAGGCCATCAGCCAGAAAAACGGCTGGGCGTCCCCGATCTAAGCGCGGATAAGAGTCCAATTGACCGTTAAGCCAAGTCAGTGGAGATCAATCTCAACAACTTCAGGTCAGTACACGTACATCACGGGAAGGAATTCACCCGTGGAATCACGTGTTGGTCTGTAATAACTTGCTATACTCCCGATCCCGGCGTACGTACGCTCTGTGAAACGACGTCTCGTCACGAGCGACCGGATTCACATGCATGCATCCGCCGATCGATCCCATCTACCTGAAGCCTGCGCACGCGGCCGCGGGACACGCCTTGGCGCCGGCGAGCGGGACACGCCTTGGCGCCTTGCCGCTGCTGCAGACAGTAGGCCTGCATCGATCGCTGCTCCGCGCGCGCGCCGCAGTCCCGCGCGAGTCGTCCGCGTCGAACGCGCTCGAAAGTGAGAGATACCATACCTGCTGGTTACGGACGGGAGCTGGTCTCTGCATCTGCTCTACTGTGAGGGCAGTCCCAGGATAGAAATTACTTTAGTTTTTATACCTATTAATTTTCATAGACATTATATATAAAAATCATAGTCCCAATGGATAATTTCTATAGAACAATTTTTTATCCAATCAGATATATTCTTTCTCCATTCTCTACCAATCACATCCATTCATGTCTTGGTTCTCGTGTAGATATGGTTTATAACTTAGATCCAGTTTCTATGATTTTTACTCTCTATCTTCAATAACTCCTTATAATATGAGTAAAACGCTTTGATGACATTACTATTAATACCATAGAAACTATGGTGCCTTTGCCCTGAGCGGTCTCCTTGTCGCCCAGGCGTGTGACCGTATCGTACCGTACCGGTGGGGGCACCCCCGGCATGCACGCCGGAATACTAGAGCACAAACCCGTGTGGATCATCTGCTGGTCCTCTCCGGAGTCCGGACTCCGGTGGTAAGAATGACACTGTAGACTGAACAATTTGAAGTAGCGCCGTACAGACATGTGCTTCGCCATGCGGTTAATCTAATCACCTGCTGGTCTATCTGTAACAGTAACTGTGTTTGCCTCTGCCTGCAGGAGTGTGATGTGTAGGCAGTGGAAAAAGCGGTGGAACTGATGCACGACACAGTGAAACGTTACTAGTCATATGCACCAACACTCACGGAAGCGAGGGAGTGATTCCGTCAGAAAAAAAGCGCGGGAGTGGGAGTTTGCTATGAGCGCCCTTGGTACGGTTCGTCCTGGCTCTGGCTCTGGCTCCGGCTCGTATGACACAGTGAACGTTACTAGTCGTATGCACCAAACGTAGAAGGCACAGTAGAAGTTTCAGGTACAAAATGATCCTTAGTTTTTTTAAAAAAAAACGAATATGTATGAGATCTGAGTATCTTTGCATTTAGTAGAAAAAAAAGTAGTTTTGTTACAAGATGCGCTTGGTTTTGGCGGCGTGCAAGTTTGTATATAAGATATTCAAAATCAGTAAACAGCCCGGATCCCAGCTTTATTTGTATAGCGACTATTCACGAACTATGCAACAAAATTTACTTGCTCCGGTTTCGATCCACAGCTCTCCCTCTTATCGGATCAGCAACAGATCAACGGACGCCGATATACTCCTCTGAATCTCGTTGTTCCTCTCCTTCTAGACTTTTTCATGTGACCAGAGCGAACAGAGCGTCGGGCCCTTTTCTGCGATCGCCGCTCCACTGACAGCGGAGCCACTGCGAAAAACACGCCCTTTGGTCTCGATCATGCGGTTGCCACGTGATCCGTTAAAGCGCTACACGCTTTTTTCCGTACTTCGTCGAAACAAAGCATCGGTCATCAAGTGGGCAACACGGGGCGATCATCATTATCCGAGATCAGCGATCGACGTCCGAGCCCAACGGCAACATCAGGCATCAGCGGGCGTTGAAACAACTCCTGGCAAAAATATTTGCCGAAAATCATCAGGTACGGATACGAATATCTCGCTCCATTTGATTTTTTTTCAATTTTCTAGCACGGGAGACCCTGAGCACACCGAAATGATTGATCCTCATCTCGCAGCTCTGGTCGCCGCGGCAGCCTTCTCAGAAATCCTGACTAGCCTGCTATCTGCTTTCCTCCAACCACTTAAAGAAGAAGAAGATGGCATCCCACTTCCCCCGTGCAGGTGCAGCGCAGATGCAGTCTAGTATCCACAACTCCGTCCCCTTCGGGCAATGGCTCCGCGGACTCGGAGTCGGAGCATGAGATGAAGGCCAAGCAACGGAGAGGAGGAGACGGAAGACATCGTCGTCGTCGTCGTCGTCGTGCAGCAAGTCCTGGATAGGTGAGGTGAGGCTGTTTCTTCTTCCACTTGCCGTGTCCTGACTCAGTGACTGATCCCGAGCAAGCATCTCATCACATCATGGGCGGTTTGCACTATGCAAGCATGACCGTGGATCCAATCAATCAGGCACCGACCGAATGCTCGCGTCGCTACCACCTCCTGTGTTGGAACTGGTCCAGGAGCTCATCAGGGCGTTCGGCTGTACTACTTCCGCTTGTTTCAGCTTCCACCTACCAGCCGAACGAGCTGCATGGCTCGTTTGCATGCATTTCTCGTTGGTCTCCGGTTCCTCACACAAACCTGTCAAAGTCTAGAACCTACTACCCTGCAGCCTGGTTTAGCACACAATATCTTACAGCTTACTCCTACTGCTACTAGTTATCTGTCCAGGCAGGAACAAGCTGTAAAACCTTGGATCATCTCCAAGCCTTTGTCTCATCGCCTCCACTCATCCGAAGCCCTCCAGCTCATGCGCGTGGCTATCAAGAGTTAGTTAGTTATCCAGAGGTACGTAAGCCGGCCTAAGATAGCATTGCAAAGCAACACGCGTGTCTCTTCTTCTGGCTGCTGTTGCGCTTCATTCTGTAATTAATCTATCAAAAAGATTGCTCTGCATCCGGGCGTGGTTTTCGTTCTGTTAAGGCTCCAATTACTTATGCACCACGCATGATTCCAGGCAGCAGCAGCCGGGTGCCGAGTGTGGGCGGCGCCGCAGCTGCTTTTTGTGTGGGGGCGTTGAGTGAGTGCAAAGACTAAGCGAGATCGAGAGCGAACAAAAGGGGGCGAGCCGTGGAGTGGTGGGTTCTTGCTTGCTTCAGGCCTACCTTTCGGCAGCCTTAAGCTTGGTGGTTGTAGTGGCGCGCGTATAATGCGTTTATCCTCCACCAAAGGACCGACCGGACCATCTACGTCCATGTAGCTGTAGGCCTCTACTTAGTAGCGGAGATCATGAGCTGCAGAGCCAAGGCATCACCCGTGGCCAAGCTTAAAGAAACCTCACCATGTGTCCCCCGGTTTAAGGATGTCAATTGTTTAGAAACGGTTGTCCCTGTCGCTGGCTAAGTGGTTGGAGGACTGACTAGTTAGTGCCAGATTAGACGGGCAAGCCTGCAGCCAATTCCTCCGTGTTGTCCATTATTTAGTTGCTTTGCGCGCGTGCAGACAGAGCGAGCTACCTATAGGCTATCTATAGCAAGCTCCGCCGTCGCCATTGCTAGACACCTTAGCTCGCTCGCTCGTCTGGCCTCTCGCATCAGTCTTTTGTCTTTTGTCTTTCCTCTTGGTCTTGGAGGCGTGGTGGTAGCTTGTGCTGGTGTGCCACCGAGCTTCCGCGGCCTCCGGGAATAAAGATTCGTCATGCAGACAGCGGCCAAGACAAGGTTTGTTCATGTTCAGTTTCATCCCCTTCCATGCTAAATTCCATGTGCCGTCTGATGATTGCTGCATATGCATTTTTTTTTTCTTGTTTATTTCTCTCTGCGTCAATCTTGCCGATGCTCACTAGATTCTCCTCTCCAAGTCAATGTCCGTGCTTCTCTCTCTCCTCATCGGGTCTTCGCTCTCCATTTTGGCCATTAGCCCATGTTCCACTCTACTGGAGGTTGGAGCACGCACGAGCTAATCGCCTACGCTATGACTGTACACGCCTCACGAAAGTGCACGGAGAACTGTTCGTTCATTCATCTTCTCCTCTGCTCAGTGGTGGCGGCAAAGCAACAGAGGCTCCCACAGCTGCAGTCACAGGCTCACAGCTGCAGCGCCGATTTTACACGCAGCAGTAAGGTTTGAGATGGAGTTATGCGACTGGGCGGCTCTAAACTATGCTTTCCTCCTCATCACCATCTGTCTGTCCCCTCCTTTCCCATTTATTTTTACCTTTTCATGGAGCCGAGGAGGAAGCGACCAAGTTTTCAAATCACGGCCGCATGTGACCGTGACTGTTCGCAGATAGCTCCATGCGCAAGTGGTGTCTCGTTCTTGAGCTCGGAGCCAAGGAGGACAGGCAGGTCCACTTGTTGCCTAACCCGCATCTGTAAAGCAAAGCGAGCGCGCCCCCGTCCCCTCCACCCCATCTCACACTCTGCCCGCCCGCCCTTTTGATCCCCGCCCGTGCTTGCCTACGCGGCGGAAGGAGGAGATTATGTTAAGCTAATGCCGCGGCCCCTTTCGTCGGCTCCTGTCCCGGCTCGGCGTTGCTCCTCCCCTCCACTACCTGTCGGCCTCTTGCGCTTTCCGGCCTCGGATTCTTTGTCGTGTGCCCCCATTGCATCTCGCTATTCTTCTTCTTCCCTTTGCATCTGAGCTGTGATAGAACTGGAAGCACTTCTAGGCGTAGATCAGTAGCTAATACTTAGCTTAATAGGAGACTTGTTGATGTACCTCACGTCGAGCGCAGTCGCAGCCATGGCGCCGCCGACGAGGTAACAGTGACGTGGAGACGCGGTCCAGCTGGAGCATCGATCCGCCTCGTCCTTCCGGACGCGGCTTCGGCTAGAATCCACCGCCCTTTAGTTCGGTTTCCCCTCAGAGCTTTCCAACTGGTTCTACTCGATTTGGATTTTGGAGCTTGAGTCTCCCAAAGCAAAAGTTTTCCCTTTTTTCCCTCCTCTTGCATTTGACATGAGGAGAGACGCTGCAATCTCCCCCCTGTTCTAAGCATGCTGTCCTTGAACAAAATGCATTTTCTCAAGTTATATTCCAGCAGCAACAGCTCCAGGTAGTGTGCTGCTCGGGGGTGTGAGCTTGCCTGCCCTGTCCTTTGTAGTTTTTGAGGTCCTCGGATTCATACCTGATACCTGATGTTGTGGTTGCTTTTGTTTTGGCGTGAAGGAATGGCTCCTTGGAACACCCCACCCGGACGTCCTCCCAGGGGAGCAACAAGGCCGGGCGGACGGCGAGGATGGCGGAGTCGCCCACCGGCCTCAGCCCCAAGGTCGACCGCCGCACGGCGGTGAGCGCCGAGAGAGAGGTAAATGGCGAACCCCCCTCTGTGTCCCTCTGCAGTTGCTCCATTTCAGAATGCGGTTTATATGCAGTAATTTCGCCTGGCAGAAGATAAAGCAAGCTTCAGTGTTCCTGTGTTGCCTGTTTGGTAGTACGTCGGTGCTATCATGTCAGGGGCACCGTCCAATTATTAAAGCCGGCTGATAAGTCGGTCTTGGTTGATTTATTATGAGAGAAGATACTGCAGATTATAGGCGATAAGCTGGCTGATAAGTTTGGCATGTTGGCTTGAACTTATCAGCCGCACAGCTTTCGTGACAAGTCTACGAAAGACTGTTAACTGCTCTTAAATGCGTCGAATTTCTATCGGCATGTTCACTTGGCTTATAAGGCGTACTTTTTCAGCCAATGAATAGTATTTTTCTCTAGCAACAAATCAGCCAACGGTACTTTCAGCTATGGCTTATCATTTCTCATGGTTCATTTGATTAGACGGTACTGCTTATATCTGTTGTTTAGCTCTGATACTCTCGCTCACTCGCTCAATTAGGAGCGGTTGGGTCTCAGCTTCTCGCTTCTGTCTCTCATGATGGAGCAAACTGTCAATTAGACTGAAACAGACAAGTATTAGGTAGTACTAGCTAAGTGCCCAAATCAAATGGTCCAGAGATATTGAATGGCTCGCAAATCCTTGAAATAATTGAAGCTGGTCCTCGTGTTGCTACCAAACTGGTGGATTAAGATACCGGTACCAGTTCTGCTACCACCAGTGTCGCTGCAACCAACGGCAAAACAGGGGTATCTGATAGAACTGACTCAAGCTCTTGTTTGGGACCGGGAACCGTAATTGACACCGGTAGGAAGGCTAATTTGGCAGTTGCACTTTTTAAACACGCTGAAAAATAGGAAGGCTAATTAGGCTATCTGTTATAATATCCCATCATGCTAGTCATTTTCTCGTACAGAAAACTAATCACAATTATCAGCTAGCATTTAGTATCGCTGACATTTAACAAATATTCCCTCCATTACAAACTATTAGGCGTTTTAGCTTTTCTATATATATAGTTTTTGTTATGTATTTAGATGTACACTTATGTCATAGTAAAATCAATGTGTGTAGAAAAAACCAAAACGTCTTATAGTTTAGAGTGGAGTGAGTACTGTATGTTTTTTTTTTATGGATATTGGAGATAGCTAGAAAGTTAACACAACACCAGCAGCGTGTCCCTGAAAAAAAAATGTTACTGTGGAAATCAAATCACCCGCGGGTTTTCAAACGGAGCTTGAGGAGTACAGTACTAATATTACCATCAGTGATCTTGTCGGCATTAATTTGTCCTTGTGTGCAATGAAATCACCAGAAAAGGAGGCCACTGACGACGAAGCTGTCAGAGCTGGAGTCCCAGCTGTCGCAGCTGCAAGACGAGCTCAAGAAGGCCAAGGAGCAGCTCCATTCCTCCGAGCTCTTCAGGAAGCGGGCCCTGCAGGAGGCCGACGACGCCAAGGCGCAGGCCGCCGCGGCGTCCGCGCAGGCGCGCGACTCCGAGGTGCAGCTCGCCGAGCTCTCGTCGGCCGAGGAGGCGCGCCTCCTGGAGCTGCGTCGCCTGTCTCAGGAGCGCGACCGCTCGTGGCAGTCGGAGCTGGAGGCCATGCAGAAGCAGCACGCCGCGGACTCGACCGCGCTGGCGGCGGCGATGGGCGAGGTGCACCGCCTCCGCGTCCAGCTCGCCGCCGCGGCGCGCGCCGATCGCCGGCAGGACGTGGTGGAGGCGCTGGCCACCATCGACGAGCTCAGGGTGAAGCTCAAGGCGAGCGAGGAGGCCGAGGCGCAGGCGCGCGCCATGCACGAGGAGTGCAAGCAGCAGCTGGAGGCGAGCCGGGCCACCATCGATTCGCTGCTCACCGACGGGTCCAAGCTGATGGACTCGTTCAGCCTCGTGGTGAAGGAGCTCGAGGAGTCGCGTGCCAAGGTCAAGGCTCTCGAGGACGAGATCGCGGAGACGTCGTCGAAGGCCGCAAGCGACCGCTGCAACTGCTCGGGCTCGGAGTCGGAGGCCGCCGAGCTGAGGGCGGAGCTGGAGGCCGCGGAGGCCAGGTACCAAGAAGAGAAGATCCTTAGCACCGTCGAGACGCAGTGCGCGTACGAGCTCATGGACCAGATAAAGACAGAGTCCGACCTGCGGCACGGCAAGCTCGCGGCGGCGCTCGAGGGCGCTAAGTCCGAGGTCATCTTCCTTAAGGCGAGCCTGTTCGACAAGGAATCCGAGCTACGGAGCGCGCTGGACGCGAACAAGAAGCTACAAGCGGAGACGAGAACAGACAGCTCGGCCGACGCGCTGAAGAAGCAGCTGCAGGGCGCGCTGCACGAGAACGGGCAGCTGAAGCAGGAGCTGCGTCAGTACGAGTCCGAGAAGGGCTCCGCAACCGCGAGGACGGCGGAGGCCGACGCGGCGGAGGCGGCGAAGAAGGGCGAGATGGAAACCGAGCTGCGTCGCCTGCGGGTGCAGGCCGAGCAGTGGCGGAAGGCCGCGGAGACAGCCATGGCGCTGCTGACGGTTGGCAAGGGCGGGAACGGCAAGGTCGTGGAGCGGAGCGAGTTGTGGGAGGGCGGCAAGTACGCGGGCCTCTGCGAGGAATTGGACGACGACGCGGCCGCCAGGAAGAACGGCAACGTACTCAGGAGGATCAGCGGCATGTGGAAGAAATGAGGGTGATCGGACAGCTGAGCGGCGGCCGGCGACCGCGGCGAGAGTTGTACTGCTCTGTAGGGGGAGGCCTGGGTCTCTCTGGTGTAATTGTTTTGCCGGTTCTTTGTGGTGTAAAAATGAAACATAGCAGAGTGATGTACTGGTTGGGGGTAAACGTGCTCATAGCTGTATTATATAACGTGGTATATGGAGGAGGAAAAATTCGTCCGAGTGCGGCAGCCGGCAGGGTTGTGGTAGGTCTGAAGGTCTCCTATGGTTGCATCTGACAGTGTTTAGTCATCAAGAATTCGAATTTGATACTTAAAAAAACGGTATTGCTAAAGGACACTCGCGTGTTTCTGTTGGAGAAAACACGCGATTTGTCCTCCGTCGGATGGGGCATCGACGGCGCGCGCTTGTGCGGTTTGTTTTCCACCCGCTCCGTAGCTGACATATGGGACCCACTTTACTGTTCAGTTTTGGATCGTCGCGCCTGCCGAGAAGTCTCCGCTCCACTCGGTCCACTCCTGTCCATTTCGCTTCCTCTCCCTTTCTCCCCCTCCTCCTTGGCGACGCCAAAGGCGACAGCGACGACGATGGCGTAGGTCTGCTCGGTCTTCTTCCTCGCTTTTTTATTCGGAGGGTGCGTCGCGGCGGAGGTCAGCAGGTAGTACGGCTCCCTCTTCCCTTTATTTTGACCCATTTTGGTTGCGATTTGGTGGTGTGAATCTGGTGATTTTGATTCGATGGGCTCATGTTAGGGTTTGGTGGTGTGTGGATTCAGAGGGTTCATCGCACCGTTGGTGTGGATTAGGGTTTGTTGGATTAGCTGTCATTGTGCCTCTCTGTTGGTAGCTCGCTGGCGTTTGTGGTGAGTGCTGCGGTGGTTGGTGCGCATCCCCTTTGATTTTGCAGCGTAGATTTGGAGTTGGATGGGTTTTTGTTTGGATTGTTAGCAGGTGGCGTGGATTTGTTTTCTGTGTTTCTCGGTTAGATTCTATGTACCATGTATCCAATTGAACAATGGATGGCCATTGCCTTATGTGAATTTAACTATTATCTGGTTCATTCGAGCCATCTTCTGCAGAGCTTGTTGCCACTTGTTGATCCCTTCAACTGTACTGAGATCATAGTTTTCTTCTGAGGTGTCATACATATCTTCAGTCCTGTTCCTGGAAGTATAGTGAATCTATAAGATATTTGTGATATCACACACATAAACTGGGTTCTAGAATGCTGCTTGAATCTAAGTAAAGCGAGCTGCCCTTTATTGGTCATGTTCTGTGTTATTACTTTTGTGGTCATATTCTGTTTCTTTAAGAAGCTTTTGGTAGGGAGTTGTCCGCTATTTCGATCAGTCTGATTGCAAATTAAGGTTTAGTTCTTTGGGGTTCAGAGGTTTAGATATGTCTGAACCCAGCAACCTGCTATGGTAGCCACTATTATATACTTGTGCTTTTACTCTAGACTAGTGTGGTTCAGGGTTCAGTGTTACCCTTGTATGTATTGTATGCTTGTGCTTGTGTTGTATACTTGTATCCATGTGCTTGAGATATCATTGTTCATACTTATTATGTGTGTCCTCTCTGAACTCTAATTTGAAGTTAGTTTGCCCTAAAATGAGAAATATCATGCATTCAAGTTATCTGTTAGTATTATTACCTACTGCTGATGAAAATAAGGTAAATTTTAGATTGAGTTTCACAATTTGCAATTACTGATAATGTAAATTGCACTTATAGGGCACTGCAATTATAGTTTTCAGCATATGTAGTATTGTCCCTTATATGTAGTATTGTTGCAGTTGTCTTATGTGAACCTCCATTTGCAGTAGTTCTTATATGGCGTTTTGTTGGTACTGTGTCTTTATTTTGCTTGCGTATGCAAAGCTGCATTATTGAAGTTGTCACTGATTTCATAATCACAGTTTGCTAGTTGTGTAGCCATGGAGGATGAAGATCATGTTTATGATAGTAACGAGGATGAGTATGAATCGAGCTCTGATGATCTAAATGAGCTAGAGGTACTAAGTTTTTATGTGCAGTTGATGCTGATTTTGGAAGCTATATTGTGAAATATTTTGTCTGATATGGATTGTTTGGTTTTTTAAGGACTCAAATACCGAAGTTGATGGAGGTTATGATGCAAGATCAATGGTGAAGACGTTCCAGCATCTGCAAGAGGCCTTTGTAGGGGTATTTGCGGAACTTAGTCTATTTTTCTCTGATTGTTTGATTCTCATCCTGTCTTTTTCAGTTTGCAAAGTTTGTTGACTCTAAAGGGAAAGCAAGTCAGCGTGGTGTCCAGACACGTGCTGGAACGGTACATTATGTCTCATGTTTATTATTTGATGTGCTTCAAGTGGACTGAATAGACTAAGTTGTTTAATGTGTGTGTTTGTTGCATTGGTTTTCAGAGTACCAGGTTTGTGAGAGGGAGGGGTAGAGGGAGAGCGACTGGTACTGGAAGCACTTCTGAGAGAGCAGGGAGCAGGTTCAACAGTAAGTATTTTGGTGAAATTATAGCCCAGTTGGATGATCGTAAGAAGGACATAGTCAGGGATCGTGGATTTGGCATCTTACTGCAGTATGATGGTTGTTCGGCACCTAAGGGATTTATTCAATGGATCACTGATCAGTTGGACTTGAACTGTAGTGATTTTCTTGTAGGAGAAAAAATAATCCCCTTATCTACATTGTCAGCCCATCTGTTCTTGGGCCTCCCAATGGAAGGTGAAGATATCAGGCAGGCTTATTCTAAATCCACAAAGAGCCAGTTCCTTTCAGCAATCAAAGAGTCTGAAGAGAACCATGACGCCTAAGAGGGGGGGGGGTGAATTAGGCAACTTAAAATTCTAACTCTAAACTATGACATCTTTTTCTACGCTTAGCAAAACCTATGCAAAAAGATAAACTATCTAAATGTGCAACTACGGTTTTGCTAATATGTTGCTATCTCTACCGCAAAAGGAGTAATGTAATCAATGTAAATGCGGAAGCTAAAGAGCAAGGTAGAGATATACAAACTCTCGTCGACGACTCTGGTATTTTTATCGAGGTATCGAGAAAGCGCGCAAGCTTCCCCCTAGTCCTTGTTGGAGCCCCTCGCAAGGAATCCCTCACAAGGGCCAAGCTCCCGGTCGGATAACTCCGTGGATAGCCTCGGGCCTTCCCCACACGCAAGTGGGTCTCCGACGTGCCTTCCGGTAAGCCTCTCCCGGATGCTCCCCGCCGTCTTCACTATCAAGCTTTCGGCCAAAACGCCGTGGGTCTTGTTCCCTCCGGTACAAGGTGGCGGCCACACCACAAACGCGTTTGGTATGATCTCGCAAGACTACAAGCCCCTCCGATGTACAACAATGGTGCGCGCAAGCATCGAGTGGTAAGAGGTATGCAAATCTCACTAAACACTAGGCCTAAACCTAGAGCAAGCGCATAAGCGGTGGTCTAATCAACCTAAGCACTTCGCAAAGCACCTACGCTAATCACCTAATGAAACACTAAGCACTATGCAAGTGGAGATCACTAAAATGATGTATCAACACCCTAGATATGTTTCCTCAGCTCCACACTACTCAAATGGCTGGTTGGGAGATCTATTTATAAGCCCCACTGAGAAAGTAGCCGTTGGGGACGAAATCTCGCTTTTCTGCTACTGACCGGACTCTGACCAGCATCCGGTCAGCACTGACCGGACGTGTCCGGTCACAAAAACGGCTCTCTGGAACCTTACTGATGTTGACCGGACTCTGGCACTCAGCGTCCTGTGCAGCGTCCGGTGCAGTGTCCTGTGCATCGGAGCGTCCGGTGCAGCGTCCTGTGCAATGTCCGGTCGCTGTTGTTGACTCTGCTGTTGCCAAGCCTTTTGATCGGAGCATCCTGTGCAGCGTCTGGTGCAGCGTCCTATGCATCGGAGCGTCCTATGCAACGTCCTGTGCAGCGTCCTGTCACCTCTGTGAGCTCGTTTTTTCGTGATCTTGCATCCGGCTTAGTCCCTATCTTCGTGCTTGGACTTTGCTTGATATCTTGGGTCTTCTCTTGTGCTTCTAAGGTCTTGCTTATGGTGTTGATCATCGGATCATCATGTCGCCATCGTCCAAGTCACGTCTTGCACCCTATTGAACTACAAAACAAACACTTGCAAATTCTTTAGTCCAATTTGGTTGTGCTGGTCTTCAAATACCAAAATCCAAAGTAAATGGGACTAGGGTCCATTTTCCTTACAATCTCCCCCTTTTTGGTGATTGATGACAACACGACCAAAGCAAGCAAATAATAGAATTTTGAAAATTAAAAACTACCTACTTGCTAGGATGCAATGCAAGGGGCAAGGTTATATGATGCTAAAAGATACTACTTGTAAGATTTAAAAGATACTACATAAAAACTTATCTTGCCCTTGCAAAAGTCCCCATGTGGCATTATGAAAATAAGCCTTGCTTTCTACAAATTCTTCCAATTACATAGGCTAATCCATAATCCATAATGCTCCCATTCTTGGACCATTACCACATGTAAATTATTATGATCTAGCTTTTGGTCCTACAAATTAATGCTTATTTTTGTCCTCTAAATTCTCCCCCTTTGGAATCAAGCACCAAAAAAGAAGACATTAGTAGCACAAGGAAGGGTCAAACTTTGTGATCCTTTGAATGTTGAGTGGAATAGGTCACAAAATTTGACTCTCACATTATATAGATTAAGCTCCCCCTAAATAAATGCATACATATGATGGAAGGAAAAGAATATGCATAAATAGCAAGTTGTTGCTCAAGGGAATTTAATCTCTATAATGCATGGAGAAAGCATATAAATATCAAAATGAAATCAATATGATGATATCGGTTTAGAAATACCACATGTGGTAACCAATTTGATTTCTACCACTTAAAATAGGTGGTGGATATTTGATGTGTGATGCTTAGCTCTGGGGACTCTATTTTCCTTGCAATGAGACTACTACATACATGATAATCTTGAAAAGGTGTTAGTCTCAAAGCATCCAACTTGTAGTGTAACATC